GCACAAAGGGAAGTCCAGCTGACCAATCTCGCGTTTGATTCTCACACATCCAACTGCCAAGCATTTTGATTACATCCCCATTCGCACGTTCAATGCTCCCTTGGCTCTGTGGATGACGAGGTTTGCTATTAATGAGGAGCATGTTGGGCCATATTTCGTTTTTTAGCTCTTGAATCACCTCTGCCACAAATTCACGGCCGTTATCGCTCTGCAGAATTCGTGGGGCTCCCAAGAGAGCAAATATATCGAGTAAGTGGCGTGCCACTTCAATCGCCCGTTTACTGCGAAGAGCTCGTAAAACCGAAAACTTTGTTAAATGATCCTGATAATGTAAAATATATTTATACACACATCCTCCTTCTTTTTGCATATTTATTAAGTCCATTTGTCCTCGCTCCGCAAAACTGGTCGATACAATGGGCCGTATTACCCCCTTTTTTCGTCGAGGAAGTCGTTTCAAATTGCATATGTGGCAGAGTGAAATAAAGAGTTTCACCGATTGTTGAGTGACGTTAGCGATAGTTTTACTTGCTTCAAAATAAGTTCTTTTTTCTCCTCCGTGACAAACTGCTCTGTGTGCATCATAAATCGTATCATACAATTGCCCTTGATGTATGAAACGACGACACATCCGGCCAGGATCAGCTGTTGTTGTTCCTGTTGTTGTTGTTGTTGTTGTTGTTACAGCCGTAGTAGAATGACGATTGTCACTGGTCAGTTTACGCTTGGTCCCCCGCTTCATTCTTCGTTCAGTTTCGTCTATGGTTACTAAGACGTCATCCCCAAATAGATTTTTGACATCATATCGAGACAATAGATCATATTCATGAAATGTCTTTGTAGTCAGTTTCAATTTAGCATTTTTGACTTCCTCGATGTATTGGGCTAATTTTTCTCGAGTGAAAATTTTCCGGCTTCCATGCCCACCTTTTTCCAACATTTGGCTAATTTTTAATTCAAATTCCTTTTTTTGTATCACCTCTTCTTCTCTCTCACACCCTTCATTAACTTTTTGTCCCAAAGGTAAAGACGTGGATGATGAAGGTAATGGTTCTTCATCAACACTAGTATCGTTATTATCACTTCTTTCTTGTTGTTTCTGTCCACATGTTAATGGAGAGGCAATTGTAGGTGTGTCCTCCATGCTGGAGCAAAATCGACTGACTCTGATATTAACCCTCACACGCTGAATATTTTATATTGACCAATCACTGGCAGGCTTTCTTGGTTAAGCTGGCAGTTTACAGTTTGTGCTTAGGGGGCGTATCACCCGGATTTAAAAAATTGTTTTAGGGTATTCATAATTTATTATCCTGATACATGTGAAAGGTGCTGCACCTAGGCCAAGTTTCAGCATCTCAGCCTAAATAGAGACGGAGAAAAAACAAACAAACAAAAAAAAGACGAATTTTTCAACCATGTTCAAAAAATTTCACAGCCCACAATTGTGAACCAAAATCATTTATATGACACTCAGCTATGACCTTACTATATAATAAAGATTTGCATGTCACATTATTATCCCAGATGTATTTAGTGCAATAATACAGATTTTATAAAAGTTTCCCAAAAATGTATGCAACAAAATGAGGTGTATCATTATTTATAAAATCAATAAATCTACGTAGATAAGAATAATGACATGCGTTTATAGAGGCGTAAACTCTACATATAATGTACAAGTTTCATGTAAATAGAATAATAAATAAAGGCTGTGAAATTTTATCTAGTTGTAAAAGTTGGAGTTGCGTAGCGCGCTCTCAAAGTTTCTCAACCTGCGGTCACTCGTGACTGGTGATTTACGCATTGCGGCCAGCTCGTATGGAGAGCTCGCATGCATCTAGCTGTCAATGCTTCTCTCTTGTTCGTTTGGTAAGTCATATTGCAGTACAAATAGCTAAAAATAGCAAAAATAGCATGTTCTGGGAGATATTGTGTGAGCGCGTCAGCATACATCCTCTCTCCATGAGAGACACACAGTCACTGACTGCACCACCCTCGTGTCAGACCATATGTTGTGTTGCCATATGTGTTAGTTTATATTCATTTTATGCATAACATGTTATTTTCAACGCTATTACGAAAAATAAGACATCTACAACGTAAGATACAATACCCCGCGGCGTACTCACGGCGCGAGGACCAGATTCACGAAAGTTGCAGCGGGAAATTTGACTCTAATTACGTTATTTTTCAAGATATCATTAAACGGTTTGGACCACAGTGTTGCCAGAACGTTGTAGTATTTTTCGTAATTTTTCGTAAATATTCCATTTTTCATCGGATTTTCGGGTGATATGGCCCCTTATTTGACTAAATTATTCCTGTAAGACAACACAAACATTGTTGTTACATTCTAGGTCAATTATTTCAAGTTTCCGTTAAAATGTCAGTGTCATCAATATCTAGCAAAATTATTATAATACTTTGCCTAATGGGCAGAGTGCACTTATTGTATGTGGAAAAAAAAAAAAAAAAAAAGGAACTAGACTAAAATTTAATTTTTTGACTATCATCAATTCAATGTGTGTGTTGCGGGTTACAAACAAAAAATCAGTGTAGCATCATACCCTCCCTGAGAGAGTGAAATATCATCGGTTCAATGTGTGTCACTGGTTACGAACCAAAAAAATTCAGTGTAGCATCATACCCTCCCTGAAAGGGTGGAGGGAGGTGTTAAACAATGATAGGGTTAATTACCAATGTTTGAATGTGGTTTGGGGAAGTTGGTTGACGGTTAGCCAATTTCCTTAACTCTCAAAACTTAGCTGATGTTCTTCTTTATGTTAACGACCACTTGTATATCTTCCTTAAGTATGTTAACTAGAGCCTGAAGTGCATCCTGCTGCCATTTTAGGTATTGTGATATATCCTGCACTTTGTCAACAACCAGTCCATACTGTTGGGCTCGCGGAAAACTACCAGGCTTTATAGACTGAGCCATTAGTTCATTCAAACATCCCTTGAGGTCCTGCAGCTGCATATACAAGTTTTCTAATCGCAGTCGAATCTGATCCTCTATTTCTTCTAGTGGTAGATTTTTTTTCCTTTCAACCTCTTGTGCTGACACCAATTTTAGAACTCGGCGCATTATATTTGTCTGTTTCAACTTAAAATTCTGAATGGTAACTTTAATTGTCGTCTGCATACAACTTAATTGTCTTATATCATCCATAATATTCTTCATACTATTATGAATTTTATTGCCATATTCTTCTTGATACTTGAACTGTTTCTGTAATTCCTGAAATCCCACATTTACAACAGGTATCAATTTCATTGGGTCAGGATTTTTTTGCTTGCCCAGTTCCCACAATGCTGGATCAATTCCTATAAACAATAAATAATTTATTTTAATTTTTAATTCCACAAATGTAGGTACAATAAAAAAATACCCCGTAATATCTTCACTTTTGTCATTATGTCACGATAAGTAGATGGATTGGTCATATCAAAATCATTTACCTCTTTGCGGTGTATCAAGATATTTCTTCATTTGTTGTTCAGTTAAAGTCAACATTGGAATAATCTGTTCAATAAACAAATTCTGAAACAGAAAAAGTAGGCATTTTTGTCTCTGTCTGGCTATCTACCTGCCTGTCTATCAAAAAACGTTCCATTAATAATGTCCCTTTTAAGCTAATTTGATTATTTAAGCCAACCTGATATCAAATCCCATTAAATAGATTGGTGCAAGCTATAATAAGGCTTACTTAGGCTTACCTTAAAAATTGGATTGTATGATGCTCTTAACATATGACTAAAGGTGTCAGTGGTAGATGCACGTTGAATCTCTCCTAGAAGGTATATTATAATTTAGAGCAGTTTGCATAATACCATACTTGATATCATTTTTTATGATAATTATTATTAGGGAAAACATTATAAAATCTTTAAATTCTTTTACCATTAGGAAAAACTTGCTGAATGTAAAATCTGAAGTTCGTTTTGTTTGGTACTTCAGCAGCAAACATTTCATTAACAACAACTTCATTACCTCCGAATAATAGACTCAATGCTGAAATAACTTCCTGTTTGTAGGCCCTGGAAGAATAAAAAAAAAAATAAAAAAAACATTTTTTAATGTTCCCGGATCCTAGTCATATTTAACACTGAAAAATTATTAGAATATTATACAAGTATATGATTATTAATTACTTACTCCACTTCTGAAAGGCCCCTTCCAATTATAATTTGCACAATACCATCTTCATTACGATAATTGGGAATTTTTGTATAGCAAACTACTTTGAAACGACAATATGGATTTTCAGATGTGAACTCTACAGGTGACATATTGGACGAATAATAACCTGGAATAAAATTCATAAAATTATACTTTATTTTAATTATATACATTTTACAATATTATAAACAACTAGTCAAATCTACTAAGTTTTCCATAATGGTTTACTCACTACCTCATCGAAAAAAAATAAAATCCACATATTTACCTTTACCAAACCCCCAAAAAGCTTGAAGTTGATTCCACTTTCGCAAGACCTCATCATTTTCATTATTGAAGTAGGAAGGAGCACAGATTGCAATATGTAATGCCATTGATGATGAGCCCGGTTGTTGGTGAAGCATCTGAAACTGATGATTGCCCCTATTTGATTCGACCAGTGAAATAAAAACAATGTTCATCGAATCCTCACACATTATGGTGAAACCATTTAACACACCATCTCACCAAATGACCTACAACAGATCACAATTGCCTTATGTTTGTAAATATATATTAATTTAACTAGTCAGTGGTATGAAGAAAACATTCAATAAAACATATCACTAACTAGTACAAATCAATAAATATCCAGCGACAGGCCTCCGTTGCAGAAATAGGAAAGCGTCTTTTCTTCACAGAAGTTCGTTTGTCAAATATTATGGAAAAAACAAAACAAAAAAAAAACACTTTAATCAATATCATAATGCGCTTCTGTTGATAGGTCGAATTAAAAATTTTAACAATAATATATATCCAGCAGAAAACATTGAGTTAACAACCACACTTCTTTTTGGCAAGACGAAACTTTATAGTTGATCTGGTGGTTTTCAGTCTATGACAAGCAGGCAACCCACAATCATCATTAACACATGAAGACACATGTGTATGCAAGAGGGTTGAATATAAGATTAACACCGAACAATGTGGATGTCTAGAAACTACTACATGATGACGAACCCGGCGAAACATTAGACAAATCGGGGTACAAGTTTTTTTTTGACATGATGCACTGTGGGCAAATTCATACAGCAACACATTGGTTCCATCGTGGTTAGCAAACCATTCTAATATTTGTAATAAACTTTGAGTATTAATTTCACAATAACGTTGTTTTTTTTATATAGTCTCAGGCGTTATATTAACCAACTTTCTCAAAGCCACATTTTCATCATTGGAATGGATATGGTTTTCTATTTTAACAATAATAGACTTGCTAGTTGAAGTAGTATCTTTTTTCTCTTTTATCTTCTTCTCTTCGGCTCCCTCACTGATATCGCTAATATCATCCTAGAAAGATTAGATTTCATCACAAATGCACCTGAGACATTATTTATTTATTTATTATAATATAGTGTCCAAAGCTTCATCATGCTTATCATAAAATAACTTTTAGGTACTTACACCACAAGATTCCTTGGATAGCTCCATTACACAGTAGCCCGTATTACTACTGAACAGGATTCTGGTATACTGGTTGACTGGACTGGATACGGAGGCTCTTATATATTGTATCACCGGCATATTGCATGGAACTTAATGTAATGATTCATTTCTCTCTTTGAATTATATTCATTGGTGAATATAAAATAGAAAAGTTGATTCAATGGCGATAACCAAACTTGGTGTTTACATCGGACGATAGTAGCACTGCTTGGTAATTATGTGATATGTTGATATTTTATAAAGAAGATTACGGTTTTGTTATTATGTCCATAATTACATACCTCATATTTTGTAGTCTTGTAATTAGTGGAAAGAGAGAATGCAAGGTATTTAATTCATTATTCATCAAGTCAAAATATAAATATGATAAGTAAAATAGTAAAAGATAATAGATATATATTTTTATTTTTATATTAAATTATTTATATTCTATATAAAAAAACATGTTCTATTCCATCCATCAACTAATTAACTAAAAGTCTGAATCTAATGTAAAAACACTGTATTGATCTGAATTCATTACACCATATTTTTGATATTCACTTACTTTTTTTTCAAAAAAATTAGTTTTCCCTTCTAATGAGATATTTTCCATAAAGTCAAATGGATTTTCTACATTATAAAGTTTCTTAAAACCGAGTTCAAAGAGAAGTCGGTCAGCCACAAATTCTATATACTTCCCCATTAGATCACAGTTCATACCAATAAGTTTGATTGGCAAGGCATCTGTTAAAAATTCTTGTTCAATCTTCACAGCATTATCAATGATAGAATATACATATTTCTGATCAGGCTTATTAATCAAGTACTTAAATATCAAGCAAGCAAAATCTGTGTGTAACCCTTCATCTCTAGAAATCAGTTCATTACTGAAGGTTAGACCTGGCATTAAACCACGTTTTTTTAACCAAAATATTGCAGCAAATGAACCACTAAAGAAAATACCCTCTACTGCAGCAAAGGCAACAATGCGTTCGGCATATGTGGCCGTTCTATTGGTAATCCACCTTAGAGCCCAATCAGCTTTTTTCTTAACAGCTGGCAGCGTTTCAATAGCATTAAATAATCTGTTCTGCTCCTGTAAATCTTTTATGTATGTATTAATAAGTAAACTGTACATTTCATTGTGAATATTTTCCATGGCAATCTGAAAACCATAAAAACACCTCACTTCTGGTATTTGTACTTCTTGGCAGAAACGTTCAACAAGATTTTCATTCACGATACCATCTGATGCGGCAAAAAATGCTAGAACATGTGAAATGAAGTGACGTTCCTCTTCATTAAGTTTCTGTTCCCAATCTACAATATCCTTTGACAAGTCTACTTCTTCAACTGTCCAAAATGATGCTAGCGCCTTCTTATACATTTTAAAGATATCATGATTTTTAATTGGGAACAATGTAAAACGTCCTGGATTTTTAATCAAAAAGGGTTCAATCATCTGAAAAAAATATATAAATAAATAAATAAAATATTTATTTTAACATTGTGTTCACTATCATAGCATAATAAACGAATGAAATTATTGAATTTTGAGTAAAAAAGAGATTAATTTACTACGTACATGTTCTTCCATCCAATATTTTATGTAAACTAAAATAGGTACACATACATATATATATATATACATACATACATATACATACACACACACATATATATTCTTTTCTTTGACACGCTTCCCAATGAGCAGTATCCATTATAACACCAGGCAGTAATACTTCCTATGTTTTGAAGGCATGCCAATTGAACCTGATTGTGACTCACTGCTGCGTTTGTTGCTATTTACTTCAGTAACAGTATATTCACTCTCTGGGAGAACTTCAGAAGGGTATATAGGGGGTATTTCATTGTTCCAAGTATCAAGTAGATTTGCTCTCAATTTTTCTGAATTGATACTCCCTATATCTTCTGTTAAAATATTTAAAGATTTTAAATGAGGTTTAATACTAATATCTGCAAATTCATATGAAAGGTACTTATTTACCAATACATAATTTCGTTCCCAGTCATTCATACTTAAAATAATCTTAACATCTTCAAAATGTTTTAAATTAAAGTTTTCCACTTTATTTATTGAGGGCCAAGTAATTGAAGCACATTTTATAATAATTATTTCACTGTTTTGAAGATCAATTAATACGTCGGCAAATGTTTTTCTTACATTTATCGATGAAACATTATCTAATATAAGTATAAATGAATTTTCCACTAAATGATACAAGTTGATTGTTGGATTAAAGTTTTGTAAAAATTCCACTTTTATTTTTAAATTATTTCTCCATATGACAATTTTATCCCACACTTGAATGATATTTTTGGGGGCTGTTAGTATTATAACAGAATATTTTCTGGGGTAGATTTCATATTGCTTTTTCATGGTTTACAAAAAAAAAAAAAGCAACTGCGCTACCCTTGTTGACAGTTGAGATCTTGAAGAACAAATAGAACCAATATCACCATCATTTTATAATTATCTGAAAATGATAAAAAAAATAGTTCTTTGTATATTATAAGCTCAGAAATATATAAAGATGTGTTGATACAAGAGTAGAATGAATAATTTATTCCCAAGAAAAAATCTACATTCCTTATTTTTTATATAATTATCTTTTTAGTAATAATATTTAAACAGGTTAGTATATCATGCTTTACAGTATTATCAATCCTACATTTTAACCGTGATCCTAAATTTAACCACAGCAAATGGATCACTCATTATATTAATATTTTTTGCCCACATTTTACATATTATAATATTTTCATCTGGGCTAAGTTTCAATTGAATAGGAAGAAGTGGGGCATAATATCCATCTATATGTTCCTTGGTTGGAAAATAATAAACAGGAAAACCTTGCGGAGTATATTTGTTTGGACTATTAACCCAAATATGTGAACAAGATACCCATACACATTTTGGTAACTTATTACCATTAGCAATTGAGCTTTTCTTCATATTTTCACGCAGGCTTGTAATCTCATGATCTGAAGAGAGTGGAAGATCTTCAATTCTATCATATACATTAGGTAAAAAATTTCGAAGATTACGAATAGATAATAAAATTATCGGTGTTAAGGTATTAAAATACCAATTCTCTTTTCTAAATTGATCAAATATGGATGTATCAAATTTACAAAATACATTATTATTTTCATCATTAGGATTAATCGTTGTATCATCATTACAATTAACTGTATTTACATGAGAAATCATATCGTAACCAAGATTTTGGTCCATATAATACTTACTTTCAAAGACAAATTACAGACCAGCAGGTTTAGTATTAGTTTTTGTAATGAAATTCATTGACAGTTGAGCCTGCTGAGTTGAAATTGTTGACCTATTTCTTGAATAATATAAATATATAATTAAAAAGATCACAATTAAAAATATCATAAATATTATAATATATAAGGAATTTGATAGTGACATTATTATTTTATTTTATATAAAAAATGTCTCTCACATCTATACTAATAATTATATTATATATTAAACGAAACAACATTCTTGTTGACTTAGTTGTGTTAGTTTTGATACGACAGTCATCTAGTCAATATGTGGGGTTACCTGCAGGGGTCACGACTATCCTCAGTTCGAATCTACACATGAATAATCTTCCATTTAGACCACCACACAGCTGAGTGGATACGAACATTGGATAGCGTCTTTCACCCTGATACCCCTGTTTCCTAGCAGTGCTGTCAGGTGCTGCTTCCTGGGGGTAGAAATAGGCCTGGTCTAGGACTGGTCCGCGGGGACACTAAATAGTCCCTAAATCATCTCAGGATATTTAGTATATATATATATATATATATATGCGAACAAGCCTGAATGGTCCCCAGGACTATATGCGAATGAAAACTCACACCCCAGAAGTGACTCGAACCCATACTCCCAGAAGCAACGCAACTGGTAACTACAGGGCGCCTTAATCCGCTTGACCATCACGGCCGTCAAAAGGAAGTGATAGCCGAGGCTATTTGAGCCACTTCCCCGACGGCAACTCGGATGGTAATCTTGGGCATAGCAT